CCCAACATAAAACAACAACTATTGGTGATGGTAGCCAACAAGTGTCTGCTGGCAGCCACAGCGGCAACAAGCGCTCGAGCAAAAACGCCTACGTGATACGTCATCAAATTGCTTGCCACAAAATAATATACACGTACGGTAGAAAATTGCCGTTAAATTATAATTATATCCAAGCATAATGCTATTATGGGCGATTTATATTGATTTAACGGTTGTTTTTTCCAACACACATTTCTGTTGTTGAGATGAGTTGAAATTAGAAATGGCTGGCATCGGATCAGGCCACGCCCATAAAACGATATTATTGGAAATAAAAAAGTGATTATTCCAAACGCACTAACACATTAATTAAAGAGCCGCCAAAGCACCGAAAACTAATAAAAATAGTGTGGCTGATTCTAGATTCTAACTGAACTATTCTAACTGAACTATATAAAGAACCACGATATATATTTTTCGCATAAAAATCGTAAAAATCGGTAATTTTGATGTCAAAAATATACCATGCTCTGGAAGGCCAATTGTCGAAAATATCGATAAAATTATAGAAATTGTAGAGTCCATTTAAAATAGGCTGTATACAAAAAGCAGCTCGATGTATGGGTGCCACACAAGTTAACATTAACAAACCACTACTATTAGGTGTTTTCTACGGCCAAACTCGTTTTTCTGATCTGCACTGCCAAAAATTAGACCGTCTAAAGAAAACCATCGCCCAAAAGCTGCCAGCTTTGGTCAATAAGAGAGGAATTTTATTCCTTCAGGGGGTCCTTATGTATTCATATTATATTCCGGACCTGGTACCTAGTGATTACTGCCTGTTTCTTCATATGTCAATGGTTTTTCTGGTGAAAGATTCACCTCAAGAAGCTTGTAAAAATCCACTATCCCAGTTTTTACTAGTAGTAGTTATAATTGTATTAAAAATGTCAACAAATTATCGAACAAAGCGGTCCACATTTGACCAAATTCAGATTATTTTAATTAGGCTAAATCCTTAAATTCGTGTAGAATCTGTCTTTTGCATTGCTAAAAATATCCAGCAATTTCTCAACTCCTACAGATAGTTACGTAGCATACCTAATCTGTGGTTTGGCCCGATATTTTACCCACCTTACTATATACTTGGCTAAAACATTTTAGTTGATTTTTGGCTGCTTCCGTTATTGGTTTTGGTGCTCTGTCGGCTCCATTAAAATATTTGTATGTAAATATATATAAACGTATATTTAAACACACATATTTACATGCATATTTATTTGTTTACTTTTAGTTTAAGCGCTTATGTATATTTATATAGATTTAGTACAAATATTACTAATGGCCAATTGCCACTCATAATTTTATGTTAGACACATTGACCCAGTTAATTGCAATTAACAATTCTTAGTAATTGTGTGGCGCGACAAGCGAGGGTGTTATGCTTGTATATATTAATAAATATTGGTGTATGAAAAGATATTAAATGCATTTATATGTATATACGCATGTATATATAACATTGAAGCCTTTGTATTTTATATTTCATGGAGAAATTCTAAAATGTGGTTTATGTTAGTGCATCTCTAATAATTTTTTAGATTATGTGTTTATCTGTTATTAAAAATATAAATTTTTATTGTTCATAATTTATATTATTTCATCATGAGTAATCCTAATAGTTGTCTTAAATATTTCAAAAGTCTTAAAGCAATTGTGACAATGCCAATATCATGTAGAAGTATCGAAGTAAGCGGAAGAAGGGAAGTATCATTGAGCAATTCCATAGCAACTACTTTTATAAATACATTTAATATAATTACACACTCCGTGTTGGCTCTCAGTCTTTTTCACTGTAATATCATTAACTTTTAGAATAGCGTTGACTGGAAAAGATCTGTCGCCCGCTTCGGTTAGAAATCCGCACAATTGTAATGCCGTCACGTCAGTTCGTTGAAAAGTTATCGATAATATCGAATAATCGACAAAATCTGGTGCAGTGAGAGAAATAGAATGTCTACCAAAAAAGAATGTGTAAAATCTGCATTACTTAGCCATTCAGTTGACTAGTTTTACTTAAAAGGAGTGAAACCCATAAATTGACCTTTCAAGGTTATGCAATACAAAAACGCTATATATGAATGAGTATGTCAATATTATGACAATAAATCGACTATTCTGAACGAGAAAATTTATCGAGTTTAGTTCCAGAATTACACTAATCGCAATAACTAATTTGAGTGGTTTCTTAAAAAAGCGAGAACTTCAAAACAATAAGATTTTTAGAGTTCTTTCCAATCAAACAAGTTTGCAAAATGTAGTAAGGAAATGGGCGCCTATAGATATACTTTCTTATGAAGACTAACTGACTAAACTCAATCTTATTATCTTCTTTAATTTGGTCTCCTCAAAATTATTATTTATTATTTGTAGATATTAGTTAGAGTAGTCTCTTATGCTACTTTGAATATCTGGAAAATAATAAACATATATAGATATATAATATGTTAAAAAACACTAAATTATTATTTATATAATTAACTTTATTATATATTTTATAAACTTTATTAAAATGAAATACTTTTTTTCCATAGATGGATTTAGTAATCTGTATCTTGCGTTGTATAAGTCAATTGTCAAAATAACGATAAAATAATGGAAATCGCCGAGTCTGATCGTCATGTAAGCACTGTTTCGATTATACAGGAATCAACCATTGCACAAAACATCCTTTTTGGAACCAAATAAATAAGACTGGAAACAAAACGAAACTCGATGTATGGGTGCCACACGAGTTTGCGCAACACATACCTCAAGGAATGAATTTCCAGCTACATATAGTCCGGACTTGGCGCATTATTACCTATTGCTGTGTATTCCAAATGATTTTGCTGATGAAAAGTGCGTCTCAAGAGAAGCTTGTCAAAATCGACTAGTTTTTTATCATCAGAAACGGTGGTTTCTACGACAGTGGCATTATGAAATTACCTTCAAAATGGCAACAAGTTAACGAACAAAAGATGCAAATAAAACCTTTAATTATTGCAAAAATAATGCATTTTTTATTAGACCTATTCTTAATTTTAATGAATAAATATCTGCTAAATATTAAAAATGTGTGTGCTTTTTCAACTTAAGCATGTTTGTATGAGCATAATCAAAGAAATCACAGCTCTATCGTAAAATTGATATGCTCATATAATATTATATTGTGTGCTGACCCTGAGGTAACCAGGTGGCAGCACATGTTTTATTTCACACAAGTGTAGCAAAAACTGGAAAAATTTGCAAATTTATTCTGACTTTAATTTCAAAATTAATCTCCACACATTTCAATCCAAACATCAAAGGCAACTTTGCACAAAGCAAACATTTATGGAATTTAGGTATGCACAAAATTAATAACTTTTTGCACCAAACAACTTTCATGCGGACATATGTAATTGCGCTTTATGATTATGTAAATATGTATGTATGTATATGCATATGTGTGTATTTGCACAAATTTTACAGAGGCTTACAATTAATTAATTGCAAAACTAATCATGTAAATTCGGAAATTTCTAATCATAATATAACGTGATTATTTGCAGGACAAAAGAAAACTAAAATGGAATTATGTGAGGAATTTATGAGATAGAGTTTTGTTTAGCAAAAAAGTGGAAGCAATTAATTGAAATTAGTACTTTGTATTTATATATTTTAAAAGCGAAAGAATTTATAACAAAATTATTACATATATGATTTTTTGAAAAATATAGCTTGTATGGAAGTAACTCTCGACCACAAAGAGTCGCTTTTAAGCCAGTAAACAGACTCATTGCTTACCGAAATATACTAGCAACCATTATTTAACATATCGATACTTTCAAGAGAGTCATGCTCTAAAATTTAATATTTCTTATTCTAAATCGGCGCTTGTATTGCAACCCGGCTTCACATGAGAATGGTAAAAACCCCCAGTCCTTGCATATTCTTAGCCTAAAATCGTTACAGTCGTAAGCATTTTCCAGCCTATTTTAATATTATATAACAATTAACAGGATTACCCGTTGATACTGGAGAGAATTATTGTCCTGTTCCTCGTATACATATGATCAAATTTGACTCGGACTGACAATACATACCATATATACAGTCTCATCTATTTTAATACAAATCTTTACAAGTGTTATCATTATGCTCCTTTTAAACCAATAAAACGCTTAATTCAAATTTCCATACACTTTTTTGGAACTTCTAGCCACTCGCTAGATTGTTGGACAGTTTCGAAGTCATATTCAGTTTCGTCGTAAGGATGCGTTTGATGAATGTAGGATACTCAGCTGGTCTTTTGGTACGGGTCTAGCATTGAAACGCTTCATACCCAAAATGTGTTGAGTCGATCCATAAAAGTTATCGAGATCCTTTGCTATCTCTCTGATGCCAACACAACGATTTTCAAGTACTGTTTCTTTAACTTCGATGATATCTAAAAGTGGATGGACGCCTGGTGTGCCTGATACGATAGATTTCCCAAACGATTTCTGCAACATTTTCAACGATTGTGTAGCCGTGATTCCATTGAAAACACAAAATTTCAAGCAAACTCGTTTTTCATTTTTTTCATTCATGGTAAAGACCGCCGAACACACACTAATTGTCATATGAAGATCAAACTTTACTCAACCATAAAAAAGGTTGTGCCATTCTAGATAAAAGAAGTTTTATCGTTTCGGTTTGATCAAATCAGATAGAAATATCTCAGTTTTACATAAATTAATAATTAGTCCTTGGTTTCTGACCACCAAAAAAGATTTCAAGTACCTAATAAGACTCACGGCACAAAGTGAACGGATTGTTGCTAATAATTAAATATTTCCCATAATGCGCAGTTTTTTGAACATAGTGACCAAAAGTAACTGAGATCAAATGATTCTCTGATGAACTCTGTCTCCATTGCAAACGGCTGGTATACGAGTTTAGCTCATCAAAGTACGGACATTTTTTCAAGAATTAAAAATAATTCTCAAATTATTGTCCAAAATACTGTCCAAAATTAGTCAATTCCCCCTTCAAGCCTACCACTTGTAGTATCAAATAAATATGCAAACAAATATTGCTATTTTAAGGCTCATTTACTTATATAAAACCTAGTTTATTTACTCAGTATTGGATTCAAGTTCAAGTTGAAGCATAACTTCAGTCACATAAACAATACTTATTTATATCTAAGTATTTACAGAATATATTATACATAAAAACACCGACACTTGTTTGCTCTGTCAACCGAGTGTTATAAAAATAGTTTTTTCTTGATTTGATTTTCGTTTTCCTTCCATCTTGGATTTGCAAAGCTGTGGGAGTTTGCGTAACGTGACTTGGTAAAACTTTTATTGTTTATCTCTCCGCTCAACCAGAAGTTTCGACAGAAACAACATCAAGCTCTACGCTTTGGTGACTTTGTTGCGCGGGATGCTGAAGCGGGAGACAAGCTGACAACTTGATTGTCTGCATAGTTTCGAAGAATATTTTTTTGGTATTAGACAAACGTTTTAATGTTGGCGCCAAATAAGTTGTTCAAGTTTCTGAACTTGAAATATTATTGCACCAAAAACTTTATTAAGTTAGTTTGATTCCATAAAGAGTTAAGAAAACATTTACTTACTATGCCATTGTGTTCTTATGGATATTCTACTTTGGCAAAACGATGGCAGCGATGATTGTTAGGTGGGATTGTTCAAGGATTTCAACAGGGTATTGGCATGCAACAGCTACGAAAAGAGCTGGGATTTAGTTAAATAAAATCGAAAAGAGAAAATGATTTGATAAGGGCACATTAAAGAAATCAGAAAAATAGAAGAAATTAAGAATAAATCTAAGTAACAGAAAATATCCTGGGAAAAGAAAAAGTATTACTAATCTTCTAATTATCGGGTCTTGATGGATGACGTATTACCATACCATAATTTAGTACCTTTTAGCTAGACCCTGTTCAATTTTTAACGTAATATGCAATGTATTCTCACTAATTAGAATAACTACATTTTAAAAAAACAAAACAATTTTATAAAGAGAATCTTTGGTTGCCACAGTTTTTGTGGAAAATTAATTTTCGTATTAAAATTGTACATCATCTTTGAATATAAACAAAAGTGATTATATAACTTAAATACGTAAAATAAAAAATAAATTATGTTGCCACCTAACCAAAATTTGTTTAAATAAAAAAAGTTGTATCAAGTCTCCAGACTACATATAATATTTTTATAGGGTTGCCAAATCACTTATAAATAAAATTCTTTAGAAAAGTTTAATAAGTAATATATTTAAATACAGCTATCGAAGTTATGTACATAAAACGTTTTTAATGTATATTTGAAATAAGAGTGTTGCCAACTAAGTTTCTGACTTTAATGCTATTTAGCCACCTTGAGAAAATAAGCATTATATTGAATGCATAAATAAAAGTATTTTTTATAAAATAACTTAAATTTTTCTTCTTTAAACCACCCTCCAAAAGATTGTTATTTTCTTTTTCTGCGTTCACAAAGCTATAATGCCAATTGATATTCGCAAGTACAGCGCATACAAAATATGTCAAGTCTTTATTCAGGAAATGTAAAGCAAGCGGATTAACTTATTATATGTATGACAAATAAATTAATGAAAAATACCCAAAATTATAATGGGCACACACCCTCAAGTCATAAATTTGAATTGTATGCAAATATCATAAATACTCGTAGTTGTCTGCACAGAATAAGCATAGACATGAGTGTAATTTTAAGTGTTGAAAAAGCAATGCATAAAACTAATTCAAATTTTTGGCTGGAATATAAAGCAGCGCTTCCTTGCCTTTCTTTTTGGATTTTTAGTATATTTTAAAGCGGATGTTCGATGATTATTTGGATACAATTGTATAAATATATAAACATACATTTGTATGCTCCAACAGATTTTGAACATGTAGACTTAATTTGATAATTTACGTATAATTTTTAGAGACAATTTCGAATTACGTGACTAAAATAGTGGGATATGTATGGTTCAATGCCGATTCAAGCATGCAGCAGTCTTCGGGACTGTATCTCAATTGCTAGACCAGTATCTTAAAGAATTCCTCACTCGCGTTGAAGTAAAGGGGTTTCCTTTGACCACTTGTTTTACTTACCCCTACTGATTTCAATCAATTCCATTACTAATGTTAGTATTTAAAGTATGATATCGTGAAATAGAGGACTGAATATTTAAATCGCATTACTAGCAATTTATTGCTTCATTATAGTTTTAAAAAGCAAGGTAGCAAAGTTTTATATTTACTAACTCAGATTTCATTCGAATCGATTATCTTTATATACCATACGACCCATTACAACATTACAAAATTTAGTACTTTTAGGAAGTAATAACTGTGATGCCACCTCATATGAATAAAATCCATATTTATGAAAGAAACTTATCAATTAGGTGAGGAAGTAAGAAATAGATTGTGAGGTAAAAATCACAAATTAGAAATTATAACTACACTACCTATAATGCCATAATGCGATATTTATCCTAAAAGAATATAATTTCATTAACTACGTCAAATTGTTAAACCCTGAACAGAATATATTAAGGAAGTTTGAAATACTCAGAAGAAAACTTCAGGGACCCTATAAAGTAAATATATATGTATAAATGATCAGCGTGATGAGCTGACACGATTTAACCACGTTTATCTGTCTGTCTGTATATATGCAAACTAGTCTCTCAGTTATTGAAATCTCGATTTGAATTTTTTTTTTCTTCTATCCCTAAGAAACTGTGTTTTTTGTCGGAATCACTAATATCGGAACACTATATCATACAGCTGCCACACAAACTGACCCATCAAAACCAAAAACGTCCTTATATTCAGCTACCGTTTTTTCTTATCCTAAATATATATATGCTGAGAAGTTCAATATGATTTAAAATTTAATAAAAATAATTTAACTAGAATATTTTACTTTTTAACTTACAATCCCATATACTCGCATACATGACCCACCCATCAGGCATATCTTGAGTCGATAAGCTTACCTGTAAGAAGAAAATAAGAAATTTTAATTAATAAAAGTATAAATAAAGAGAACTCTGTACAGGTTTACATATACTTTTGTTTGATTATATTAAATAAATATATTTAATTTTTCGTTTCGAGTAAGTTGATTAAAACGAAAATAATTCGAATAATAATAACGATTATTGATATAATATAAAGCCAAAAAAATATCTCTTAAGTCATAACAATTTTCGAAACTCTTGTTGATGTAGAGTAAAATATTTTTCCATTTCTTAAGTTTTTACCCCTTCGTTCAGCATTACAAATAATAACAACAAAATACCCTATTTGTAAGTCAAATACAAATGGAAAGCAATGAACAGAGATCAATCACCTTTATTGGCCAAAAAGAAACAAAAACAATAAAATAACTTTTTTTTTTTCTTGCACAATACTTCAATCTTGAGTTGTCATTGCAAAAGCAGTAAAGAAGAGCACCTCACTAACCATAACATATCTACCTACATATGTATACAGGGTAGTATGTACATTATGTATATTAGCCCATTCAGTTGGCTGAAAAAAACTAAGTGCTCGTACATGCAATAAAAAAGAGAGACACGGTTAACTCTGTAACCACGTGCCAGTCAATTACGATGATTAAAGTTTTTTTGTTGTGTACTAGCTTTATGCTCAGTTTTTTTTGTGTGTTTTTTTGGTACGTTCTTCTTGTCGTCAGTCAGCGTTATAGCTGTAGATATATAATTAATTTGCACAAACACGCTCGTGGCACGAAATTTGTTTACAGCTTTATTGTTGTTCTGGTTAAAAGCATACAACAAACATTATAATTTATTTAGCCAGTTTGAAATGTTTTATTACAAAAAACATAAATACGTACGAACACACATACTAACGTACATAAGTACGAAGAGAATTAGAGTGAATGGGAATTAGCCAATTGTTTGTATAATGATTATTACTGAATAAAGGTAATTTGTAATCAATACAATTTAATTGAGAATAAATAACATTTGCTAAGAAGCCAATTCTGCGCTTGTTTTTCATTCATTAATATATATTATATATTTAGAAATAAACCGATAAATAAAAGGTTTATTGTTAATCTAGAAAAGCAGATGAAAGAGACAAGCTCTAAAGCGACGTATTATGCTCGAATTTGTTATGAGATATGTTGATGAATATATCTCAATGCTTTGGGGGAATTGTGCTAAGGAACCAAAATGGCCATTTTCGAAAAAAATATAATATGAGTATCAAACGAAAAGTTTTTTGATTATTCCGTGAAGATTTTTTTATAACAGAGTGGCCACTTTACAAAAAAAAAACATTTAAGTAAAATATATTTAAATGTGTTCCTCTCCAAAAGCGTTCGCAATGTGGTTAGCAATTTTTTAATTTATATATATTTTAGAAAAGAGTTGCCACCTGCAGAAGATGGAATTGAACATATTAAACAAGAAATGTGTTCAATAAATCCTCAAAAAAAATTTGTAAGAAGTTTCGATTTTCAAATATTTTTGAACAGAGCTGCCACCTTTACAAAAAAGAAGAACACAGGAAGATAATAAAAAGATTACCGAATGTAAGTCAGTAAAGAAAGTCTCCTCATAAAAAATATTTGGGGAATTTCCAAAACACAAACGTTTTGGAATAGAGTTACCAGCTTTAGAAAAAAGTAGAAATCAGCGAAATAAAAAAACAAAATTGTCAATTGTAAGTCAGTGAGGAAAGTCTACTGAATACAAATATTGAAAAAAGTTCAAACTAATAAAATATTAAAAAGCTTTCGGAAATTTGTTGAAAGATCCTAGAATATTAAATAATAAATACAATAAAATTAATTTTATGAAGACTGAATGCTTTGTCACTCACTTTATTATTTGAGTTTGCTAGGTATAGCAATGTTTATAGCTTTAATATATATATTAAATTTGTACCCCTTAATTTAGATATAATTAGGAACAGAGTTGCCAGGTATACAAAATTTAAACTGAGATAAACACTAAAAAACAGTGAGCGAAGCAAAGAAGGCCTTAGGCAAGCGCTCCAATTTTTGAAAAATCTTTGTATTAAAAAAATAGTTTAAAAAAAATTTTGTTAAAATAAATTTAAAACTATTTTAATTTTGAATAAAAATTGTTATCACCAAATTTTTGGCTCCAATTATAATATTCAAACATAATTGAATATAATATAGGACACAAAAAATCTAATGTGTTCTTTTTAATTTTATTTCTCCAATACTTCGATCATATACATTAACCATATACTCCTAAGTTCATGAATTAATTCATGAGTAGTAAAAAAACTTGTATATTTTTAATTCGTTGAATTCCCCATTACCCGGTTTTGTATTCTGAAAGTGCTCTTATTGGTTGCTAAAATTTAAATGAGCTCTACTTTTGAACGATTGCTAGGAATAACGGTTACTAGAAATCAATAGCAAAAGGGAATAAAAACAAAAACAATGATAAAATTTATTTTTATAACAAGATTTTAAGAAGCTTTTGGGTAATCCAATAATGCTGACAGCTGAGTGTGGCTGGCGCCAACTTAACGCTACATTTTACATTTAACTAGCGTAAGTTTTGAAGATTTTAGAGATTAGTTACAATAATTGTTTAGAATATACAATATTAAAAAATTAATTTCCGTCATTTTAATAATAATTCCTACTCGAGTTACTTTATATTTAATGTTTACAGTAGCAAAAAGTGAGTG